TTTCTGGTCTTACCTCGCTGTCTTCCTCTTCATGTGACCCCACATCAGAGGCGTTTACCAGGCTTGCTACTCAGATTCTTCCTTGATCACAGGGCCTTCTCTGATATCTAAATTCTACCTGTGCTTCAAAGACCAGCTCAACCCCTGGGTTTATTTCCTAAGATAACCACAACAAATTATCACACACTTGGGACTTGAAAAAAAAAATAGAAATTTATTCTCTTCTGGAGGCCAAGGTGTTGGCAGGGCAGTATTCCCTCTGAAGTCTCTAAAGAATCCTTCCTTGTTTCTTCCAGTCTCTGAGGGCTACAGGGGTTCATTGGCTTGTGGCTTCATGAATCCAGTGTCCTCCTCTGTCTTCACAGGACTTTGTCTGTGTGTCTGCATCTTCCCATCTTCTCTCTCTTCAAAGGACACTTACTGGATTTAGGGGTCACCCAGGTAATCCAGGTTGATCTCATCAGGAACCTTCACTTCATTACTTTTGCCAAGAAGATTTTTCCAAATAAGGCCATGCATGTTCCCATGGTCTAGGGTTTAGAAGGTGAACATCTCTATTTTGAGGCCACCATTTAACCACTACAATTTCAATTCCTTTGAAGACTGTCTTCTGGCCTAAAGTGACCTTTATCTCTTACCTCCTGTATCCTTTGTGTTGTTCAAGTTTCTTAAGGCTGTTGTGACATTCTACTGTGCACTATAGGTACATTGACACCAGTGGTAAGAGTTAGATGTCCCAAGTTCAAATCCCAGCTGCTATTTGCCAGCTGAATGATGCCAGTCATGTCACCTAACCTCTCTTGCTAGATCCAGGACACTGTAAGGAGTCTAGATCACAAGATTTAAGGAGTTACTCACTCTTATCTCCTGAAAGTAAGATTTTCATGAACTTCTTCAAATGCTGTGCCTCAGATGCCTCTTTTGACTTACTGTCTTTTTTTGTGGGGGGGAGTGGAGACCAGGATTGAACTCAGAGGCACTCAACCACTGACCACATCCCAGCCCTATTTTATTTAGAGATAGGATCTCACTGAGTTGCTTAGCACCTTGCTGTTGCTGAGGCTAGCTTTGAACTCACAATCATCCTGCCTCAGCCTCCCAAACCACTGGGATTACAGGTGTGCACCACCATGCCCAGCTCTCTCTCTCTCTCTCTCTTTTTAGAGAGAGAGAGAGAGAGAGAGAATTTTAACATTTATTTTTTATTTATTTATTTTTTTGGGTGGACACAACATCTTTGTTTGTATGTGGTGCTGAGGATCGAACCCCGGCCGCACGCATGCCAGGCGAGCGTGCTACCGCTTGAGTCACATCCCCAGCCCATGCCCAGCTCTCTTGACTTACTCTAATCTAGCCCCTACCCTGCCTCTTGTCTTAGTTTTCATGTAAAGTGGAGACAAGGACCTCCCTGACAGAGAAATTATAAGGATTAAATGAATAACTCAAGTAAAAGCCCAAGCACAGTGCCTGCACACAGCAATGATGTGGTAAACAGTAGCTATTACTTCTCTGACTAGATGGTAAGCTCCTAAGAAGCTGGTCTTCATGTTTAAAACATTTTATATTCCTAATAACCATAAACTTGGAAGCAACCAAGGTGACCTTTGGTAGATGGATGGATCAATAAACTGTAGCACATCTGGACAATGGAATATTATTCAGCACTAAAGAGAAATGAACTAGCAAGCTGTGAAAAGACATGAGAAGGGAGTGAGGTGCACTTCACTGAATGAAAGAAGCCAGACTAAAAAGATTGTACATTGTATGATTCCAACAATACGACAAAATGTCAGAGACAGTGAAAAGATCCAGGATTGGGAGGGGAAGGAATGAATATGCAGGACACAAGGGAGTACTATAATGATGGACACATGTCACTGTACATTGTCCAAACTTAGAGGATGCATACCAATGAGAGTGAACCCTAATGTAGAGACTCTGAGTGACAGTGATATGTCAATGTAGGTCCATCAATTGTAACAAATATATCACTCTGATGGGGGATGTTGGTCATGGGGGAGACTATGCAAGTGTGGGAACAGGCAATCTCTGTACCTTCTGCTCAACTTTGCAGAAGCAAAACTAAAATGGTTCTAAAAACAAACACACAAAAAACCAAACACATTAAAAACAGTAAGTAATCAATTATGTCTGAGACTGTTATGAATTCATGAATATTTGCTATGTGTGAGGCATCTGGTCATTGGGTGAATAGTCCACAATCAAGGAAATAGCCTAAGCTTGGAGTCCATGGATCAAGAGCTCTGGAGCTGATTCATCTCCTTGTTCATGCATGTGTTTAGAAGGTTTAGGTGAGGCACTTTGGACAAAGGGAGTAGAGCCCAAACCTCAGAAAATTTCTGAGGTTGGTTTTCAAATTAGAACCATGAGGGAAAAGGCTCTGGAAGCGAGCTGCATGCGTGCTAGAAGGACTGGCTCATGTCTGGCTAGCAGCAGCTCAAATGTGCAAAGTGGCTTTGGTCCATGCGAACTGGTCCCATCAGGAACGGACTGGCTCCTTCGGTCTCACTTGCCAGCTCCCTGGGAAGGAGATTCTTTCCTGGAACACCAAGACTATCTTGCATCTTGCCTGGGACTCTGTGAAACTCTGAGCAATGCCTGGCCCAGCTGGGTGTACCCTGAAACACCACATTTGATATTGGGATTGATATTCCTCTTTTACATTGTGGTTGGGACTCATTAACTCTCAATAAGGATCCACACTGAAGGAGCTGCCTCCCTTTCTAGCAAAAAATGTCTCATAAGTTGGGCCACAGCTCCTGTAACTGATTTGTTCTCCTGGCATGGGGACAGCATGTTGTGTGGTACCCTGAGGCTGGTGAGAAAGGGGACAGACTCAAGAATTCCTGGGTGGGAAGGGCTCTTCCTTGCATTCACCACAATTGCTAAAATACTATGTTTAATAGCCCGAGACTGGTCTATATTTGCATGGAAACCATGTATGTGTGGAATTTTATTTTATTTTTTTACTTCAAGATGGCCATAATAAGAGCCAGACCATTGTTGATGAGTCTAACGATTAGAAGCAGCCTCGAAATTCCTCACACAATCATGTTGGGTTCAATTTTGAGATCTTGTTCTAATAGTTCAAAATGTGTGGTGTTTATCTAGCAACCTCACTAAAGAACTCATATTCACTGGTGCCAAACACGTGCGTTAGGTTTGCAGCTGCCCCCATCAAGGATTGGCTCAGTAACCAGCCAAAGTAACGGAGTTTACGTAAAGCAGTTTGGAAGGGTATTGGAAGGTTCATTTTAGTAACTGCTATATTTATGTCCATCATATCACTATTAAATTGGCAGGCGTGAGGCAGCCTTCAGAGTGGCTGAGTGTGTACCGTCACCATTCCTGATGCGCTGTGCTCGGGAACAAGGAGTGCAAAGAAGACTCTTGGCTTTAGGAACTTGGCTCGACATTTCTATCCATTTGAGTCATGGCCACAATGGCACCTGCTTCCTTTGGAGCCAGACTTACACATTACCACCATTACTCTTTAATAGCACTGAAATTGCACTCATTTGTGAAATCTGTCTCTTCTCTTTTCTGCCACAGAATGGAATCTCCAGGACTGTGTGTGTGTGTGTGTGTGTGTGTGTGTGTGTGTACATTCTGAGCTGCTGCCTGAGAAATTTTTTCTTGCATTAGTTTTCAAGGGATTCTGGTAAAGAACGTCTTACAGCAATCAGAAAAACCAACATTTAAACTGAAAAACAATCAGATGGTAAAGATCTCTGCTTTAGTTTACTACATAAAAGGTAATGTACAAAGATATCAACTTGGGGTGTGGGATTGGAGAGGCTCTTCCAGTATAATGAGTGGTGTTTGCAAAATAATCACTGCCTTCCAAAGTGAGAAACTTGAACTCCAAGAATAAACTCGTGCTCTCATTTATTTCTTAAATGAGAAAAAAGACCCTAATGTAACTATCAAAACACTCCCATAGTTTCTGATTTATCATGAACAATGAAACGTTATTTTTAAAAATCTTCGATGTCCAAGAAATAGAAAAAACTTGCAGAGCAAGGGTAGAGGAGTCTAGATCAAGGGTTGACAAACTATAGCCCAGGGATTGGTGTATTTTTATAAATCAAGTTCTACTGGAGCATAGCCATGCTCATTTGTTTACATATTGTCTGCGGATGCTTTTGTGCTACAATGGCAGAGTTGAGTATTTGGGATAGACATCGTATGGACAACGCAGACCCCAAAATATTTACTCTCTGAGTTTTTACTGAAAAAGTTTGCCAATCACTGGTCTAGACAAATAGTCAGATGAGCCAAATGTTGGCTGAAGGTCCCCAACTTACATGCCAAGGGAGGACTAGATTGGTTTTGGTTGTTGTCATGCACTAGTACTTTTAAAAATCCCACAAGTCAGTACACTAAAACTCCTACTATTCACCTTACTTTGGGGCACCAATATGGAAAATAAAATTAGATCTGAGTGTATTTTCTATGTAATCTGGATTTCTAAAGCATTGCTGGATTATATAAGTCAATGTCATTTTTTAGTACTTTTAATAGTGTTGGTGGCCCGTAAATACTGGTGCTGTGCTTGTGTCTGCAAAATTATACAATATTCAAAACTGTGCACTCTAGCTATAAATGGAGTCCTACTTCAAGTAAAACTCTTCAGTCTAATTGTTTCCCAATCCTAACCAGTTTCAAGATTCACCAGAAAGCTGTAGTTTACGGCCCCAGACACACTTCTCAGCTGTGCCTCCCAGCGTCAACATGCCGTGCCCATTCAGCACAACGTGCCGTAAATTAGACAACTGCTGACTCTGAACCATGGGACACTTTCCTCAATGGCAAAAACTGTTACCAGGAGTTCAGAGGCCAGGCACACACGGGCTCCGGGCTATTTTTTGTACACTGCTGATAGATTTGCATCTCTCTTCTTTGTGGCTAATTTTGGCCAGTCTGGTCAACAGTATGGGTTAGCATAGAAATTTTCTGGAATTATTCACACAAATCTGTTTTTAGAATAAGGAAATTATGGTTTAATTTTACATTCTTTTAATCCATTTCTATATTTTAGCAGACCTTTATTTTATAATAAAAAGCTTCAGAATAAAGAAAAAGATTATAGGTTAGGCCAGCACAGTGGCAAATGCCTGTAATCCAGCGGCTCGGGAGGCTAAGGCAGGAGGATCGTAAGTTCAAAGCCAGGCTCAACAAAAGTGAGGCACTAAGCAACTCAGTGAGACCCTGTCTCTAAATGAAATACAAAACAGTGGCTCAGTGGTTAAGTGTCCCCAAGTTCAATCCCTGGTACCTCCTCATCCCATAAATGAGTATAGGTTAGGATGAAGAATAAAACTAAAAGCAGTTAAGATTGCAATCCCCCTAGCTCTGAGTTGAACTCCTACACTAGTGAGAGACCATTGGCTGGAACAATATCAGACTCGACAGGTCAGGAATGATCTGAAGGTTTTGAAATATCATTAGGGATAGGGCTTCATTATTTGATTACAATTAAGTCTTCCTCTTTTCTTCTCATTTAAACGTTAGGTAGATTATAAACAACAGATATTACTATGGATTCTACCTGCGAACTATCTTAGTAGACCTGGCATTAATAGCAGCAGAAAAGCCATTAAGGGCACAGGAGCACTACTGGGCAGATTTAACTAGCTGAAATCCAGCCAGGCACAATGGCTTGGGAGGTTAAGCCAGGAGGATCACAAGTTCGAGGCCAGCCTCAGCAATTTAGGAAGGCCCTAAGCAATTTAGTGATTGCTTACTAAGCAAAATATAAAATAAAAAGGGCTGGGGATGTGGCTCAGTGGTAAATTGCACCTGGGTTAAATCCCCTCTCCCAAAAGGCTGAAAGCCAGGTCTCCCGTCATAACCTTCCTAGAAGAATCCACTAGGTTTGAGACAATGACTTGAGGAAGAAATGGAGTATAGTGCAAATATCACTATGAATCCAAATGTGAGCTTTGACACTTGTTTTGAAAGTTAAAACGTAAACCTACCTGATAAATCGTAAAATCTGTAACAGTTAAAGGCACAGAATATAGTTTTTCTTCAGTTTCAATTCAAGTATAATAGGTCCATATGGCTGAAGAAAATACCATCATTCTACATTTTTATTAAAAATAAACAACCATTAGTCCTAATTCACTTCCCCCCCCTTAACATTTCACAGATTCATTTGTCATCCTTGCCCAGGGGCCATGCTCTGTACTGTTCTAATTTTAGAAGATGTGTTATGGAAATGAGCACAGTCCTATTTAAATTTTTTTTTTTTAGGCTTAAAAAAGTCCGCCATACCAGTCTTTGAATTCTAGTATGGTACCACTGCAGAATGCCACTTATAAATTCTCATTTTAAAGAGGTCCTTTCTTTTCAAAGGAGGATTTTAAGTGTTAGTTTTCAGAAAAGATGAGTTGCCATTCTAATTCAGGAATGAAAAGGGGAGCTCTGTATGGGAGGCTCATAAAAGGTACCCTAGAACTTTCTTTCAGGACTGACATTGCCAGGCTAAGGGGTCTTTTGAAGCCAAGCAATAGCCTACAAGCCACGTGGGAGAAGCAACCTATGCCTCCTATGACCGGATTGCGAAGGCACATTTTTGTGTGACATTCCTGCTTGAGCAGTCAGGGCCCAATTAAGATCTAGCTGGTTAGATGATCACTAGGGAGAGTTCCAGGGTGTGGGGAACACTTCGAATTACATTCCACGAGAACATTAGACTGTCAAAGTGTAGGAAGGCTCTGATTGTCCACAGTGGGGAAGGACTGAAACGAATGTGAGCACATGTCAGCATGAAATAGCTGCTGACACATATTGAACATGTGCAATTTTTTAAAAAGGTGGTATCGAATAACAGGCCAACAGCCATCCCTCTCGGCACTTTAGACCTCTTTCTTCTCTCCACTTTGGCTCTTTGTTGAGTCACTTCCATCAGGCAAGGTTCCATAGGATAAGCCATTTGAATCTGGTTGTATTTTGTCCAACATTTGTTTCCCTGTGGAGATAATAATCATAGAAAAAATCTTTTGAGCCTTACGGATGAAAAAAATCCTAATAATTTCTCTTTGGTCTAGGCCACATTTTATTCCCCTTTATTTATTTATTTATTTTTAAAGTACTATGTGGTCACCCTCTAAACAGAAAAGATAACCATCAAGGAAGAAAGGCCCAAGGAAGTCCCTGTCACTTGGTGTGTGGTCACGCACTGTCCATGTGACAGAGCTGTCTCCGACCCCATGCTGGGCATGGAAATTGGTTGGCCAGTCAGGAGATTCATGTGAAGCACTCACTCATCTCCAAACCTTTCTCCCCAGGGCTTTGTCCTCTTTTCCATGTCTAGTCTAAAGCATATGACAACACAGAAAAACTGACTTTAATGGAGCCTTCAAAAGCTGCTCCTATATATGGGGCTTTATGAAGTGGAAAACAGAATTAAAAATAATGGTGTGGACAATCAGAGCCTTCCTACGCTTTGACAGTCTAATGTTTTCATGGAATGCAATTTGAAGTGTTCCCCACATCCTGGGTTTGGTTCCCAAACAAGTTGTCTCTAATGCATACTCTTGTCACAGATGCCTATTATTGCACAGAATGCTTTTTGGCTGATAAGATGGCTCACACAGAAAAAAGAACACAGAATTCATTGCCCAGGGCCATGATTTCTCAGTCTTAGGGATGGGGCTTTAGTGGGTTTTGCCTAAAGATATGGTACGAACTGAATGGTGGAGAATCGATTTCCTACCTGGAAATGAGAGAAGCAAGCCAGGGAGAGGTCGCCCCAAATCCCTAGCAAAGTGGTGAATGTGAGGGAAGAAGAACTGGAAAGAGGATGCATGTTAACCCAATCTAGATGCATGAGGGGACAAGGGGGAGAAGCCCTCCTGTTCCGGAGGCTGTGACGATGTCACTTTTGGCACATGGTTCACAGGCCACCTCAGTCTCCCCTAGGAGTGATGTTCTTTAGCAGCCTAACCTTCAGTCCTTATATGTATCTCCAAAGCCTCTCCAAGTGGCAGGGATCTGCTGTTGGTAGCCATTCCCCACATGTTTCCCCTATCTTTTTACACTCTAAGGAAAAAAAATCCCTAAATCCCCAGATCTATGCAAAACTGACATTCCATAAATTATTATTAACATTTACACTGAAAACATCACCTTTGCTTCATCATTAAGTATACTTTTTTTGAGGGTAAGAATTATGTTTTATATTAACTCCATACCACCAAATAATGCCAACAATTGTTAACTTATAAGGATAAAAGCTTCTATTATAAACGAGAGAATATATTTATATATTTTTACCAGGAATATCTCCAAAATCAATATAGGGCTGTTGCAGATGTTCCTTTTCTTGATTTCTTGTGACCAAAAACACCCCAAGAAATGACAGAAAGCACCTGTAAGAAAAATATTAATAAAGAACACAGGAACACTGAAACAGCTCATGGTATTAAATAACTGAGCTCCATATCCTACATGATGACATAAATTCCATCAGTTTTGTTTATCCTGCTTCTCATGGTAAGCTGCCTAGAAGTTGTCTTAATGGTTGGAGCCAATAATATTTGTACCCAGAACCAAGACTTGGGCAGCTTCCAATAAATCTCTGCCCCAGGTTTTTACCATCTGGAGGCTAATTCAGTCGCTAAGCCCTTTGGGTAGACACTAGGTCTCGTTTTCTATCCATGCATGCCCAGACCCATTACTGGCATGCAAACACAAGTGCGAAAACAATTTATTCCTTAATTTTCTAAGAAATCTCGTTGTCCTTGGCCATAAGAGTAGTCATAGTTTCCAGACCCCAGAAGTTTGGCCTCGCCCAAATGTCTTATGAAATTGAATTTTCAAGATAGATGGTTTCCTATGCTGAAAATAGTTTAGGCTCAAGTTTGCATAACAATGGTCATGCTGAATACCAGATCAAGAAGCAGGAAGCGCTAATGGAATGCCACTTGAAGCCAATGGAAGCTTCTATACATTGGCTGTATCTTGTCAAGGTTCTGCTCTGTATGCCAGCAAGGCTAGTGATGTGTCCCTCAGATTTCTAGGAAGCATGGAGCTGGCCACTCTAACACAAGAGAGGAATGGATCGACCTGATGCTCCTAGGTCCAAATCTAGGGATCTGCTCCAGTCTTGGTCTTTTATTCCAGGTGATCCTTGAAGCATCCTCTAATTGAGATCTAATCTCGGGGTTCCCAAGGGCGAGGTAGGTCTGGTACAGTAGTAAAAGGTGGAGTAACTACAAAGGCCAGTGAGTTTATCTCAACTTTGGCTGGCACTGAAAATCACCAATGCTTTAGGACCCTCAGGGAGATACCTAAATCAAAAGCCAAAGACACTGAGCCCTGTGAAAGGTGTTAAGTTGAAAAATATGTTTCTTTTAGGAGTGCAGGAAACTGGTGTTTCTTACATTATTTTCCAATTTTCTATACTTCAGGTGCAATGCCAAAAATCCTATTAAAAGTAATAGAATTTCACATACCTTACTTCTGAGGCATTTACTCACCCAAAAAGATATATAAATACAGTGAGAAAAGCGGCACCACGGAATTCCTGGTAAAATACGATACCTATATAGGAATAGAATACAGAATTAATTTTAGGGTAGGAGTATTTACAATAGTTACACATTATTTCTAGAATTATGTAAATATATCTAAATACGGCTATCCTTAAAATGCACATTCAGTAGTTTATTTTTAAAAAAATTTGCATGCCACACTTACATTTAAAATTATTCCAAAGGAACAGAGACTTGTAGATTTTATGTAATATGATTATAATTATTATAAAATCAACACAATTGACAAAAGGTTTTCTTTTCTTTTCTTTTCTTTTTTTTTTTTTTTTGGTACTGGGGACTGAACCAAGGGGTGCTTTACCATTGAGCTGTATCTTCTGTCCTTTTTATTTTATTTTGAGACAAGGTCTTACTAAGTTGCTGAGTTTCTGAGGCTGGTTTTAAATTTGTGATCTTTCTGCCTCAGACTCTCAAGTTGCTAGGATTACAGACGCACCCCACTGTGCCTGGCTTGACATAACTTTTGCAAGCCAGGCACAGAATTACCCAGTCCAAGAATTTCTCACCAGAATATACAAGAGAACAAAAGTCTAGTGACCATATCCCACCTACGATTTTAGATCAGGGTCAGCACCTGGCCTGAGAGTCTGGGTGAACCATGGGGTCACTGACATGGCAGGCCCACCTCAGGCCAGCAGCTGTAGCCCCTCTGTCACTCTTGGCTATGCCCTGTGGTCTGCCAGCCTGGTCACATGCCCATACAGGTACAGGAAAACACTGGCCACTGGGGTGTTGCCCCTGCTCCATTTTCCTCTGCTAACTGCTCTCATGTCCTCCTTCTGGCCTCCCTTCCTAGGAGATGGCAAGCAAGCATGTAGGATTTATTTTGAGGACCTTTTCTTCTCTCCCTGTTGGTCTCAATGATTTCTTGTTAGTTTAAGGTCCTAAAACCTTTGTAGGGTTTTGTCAAACAAGACATCCTTAATGTATGAAGCACCTGGAATCAGTTTTTGTGTTGGGAGCTAGCTTTGTTAGCCAGTCAATGAGTACTTACCAAGTGTCTCCTGTGCACTGCTGTTGGGGGTGATGGAGACCCCACTGTGAACAAGAGGAGTCCCGCTCACAGGAGACAAAGTTTTCTCAGCCTCAACCTTATCTCCTTACTCTGAGAATGGACTTCTTACAGAAAGAAGCCACATCCAGCTCTAATGAGTATTAGAACTGGATGAATATTTCTGAAACATCTTCCATATTATTACATACTTCTTCATAATCATTTTATTGTGTCCATGTTATTCTAAACTAATGCACCATAATATTCATTTCTGAGGACAGTTTAAGTTGTTTCTAATTGCTTGTTCTTTAGTAATAAGCAATGAACTTCTTTTACACATTTCCCCCAGTGTTTTGATTTTTTTTTTTTTGTCATTAGAATTGGTTTCTAGAAATGGAATTTCTGTTTCAAAGAGTATAAACACATTTTATTTTATTTTTTATTTTTTTAAATATTTATTTTTTTTGTTTTAGGTGGACACAATATCTTTATTTATTTTTATGTGGTGCTGAGGATAGAACCCAGTGCCTCACGCATGCCAGGCCAGCGCACTACCACTTGAGCCACATCCCCAGCCCCACACATTGTATTTTAAAAAATTACAACAAAGTAAAGCTGGTGCAGTGGTGTACACCTGTAATCCCAGCGTTTCAGGAAGCTGAGACAGGAGGATCAAGAGTTCAAAGCCAGCCTCTGCAAAAGTGAGACACAAAGTGACTCAGTGAGACTCTGTCTCTAAATAAAATACGAAATAGGGCTGGGGATGTGGCTCAGTGGTCAAGTGCCCCTGAGTTCAATCCCTGGTACCAAAGGAAAAAAAAAAAGTAAGCCAGGTATAGTGGCACATGTATGTAATCCCAGCTACTTGGGAGGTTGCGATGAGAGGATTGTGAGTTCAAGATCAGGCAAGGCAACACAGCAAGACTCCATCTCAAACAAAAAATTGTAGTAAAATGTAAATAATATAAAATTTACCACCTTAATCATTTGTAGATGTATGGATCAGCAGTGTTAAGCATATTCACATTGTTGCACAACCAATTTCCAGAACTTTTCCTTTTGAAATTGAAATCCTATTCCCATTAAACAACTCCCCATTTCCTCTTTCCCCCAGTCCCTGGCAACTACCATTCTATCTTCTGTTTCTAGGAATTTGACTATTTTTAGATACCTCAGATAAGTGGAATAGTATTTTTCTTTTTATGACTTACTTCACATAGAACAACATCCTCAAGATTTATTTGTGGTTTGATGTGTATCAAAATCTCCTCTAGTCAAAGGCTGAATAGTATTCCATTGTATGTATATGCCAAATTTTGTTTATCTACTCATCTGTCAATGAGAACTTGGGCCATCTCTACCTTTTTGCTATTCTGAACACTGCTGCTATGAACATAGATATTACAAATTTCTTTAAGACCTTGCTTTCAATTCTTCTGGGTATGTGCCCACAAGTGGAATTGATGACTATATGGTAATCCAATTTTTAAATATTTTTGAGGAACTTGCCATGCTATTTTCTATAACAGATGTACCATTTTATATTCTACCAAGGATGCACAAGAGTTCTAATTTTTCCATATCCTCTCCAATGCTTGTTATTTTCTGTTTTTAATAGCAGCTATTCTAATGGATGTGAAGTGATATCTGATTGTGGTTTTGATTTGCATTTCCTTGATGATTAGTGATGTTGAACATATTTTCAGCAATGCCTGTTGATCATTTTATATTTTCTTTGCAGAAACATCTATTTAAACAATCCTTTGTGCATTTCAAAATCAGGTCTTTTTTTTTTTTTTGGTCATGGCCAGGGATGGTGGCACATTCCTGTAGTCCCAGCAGCTTGGGAGGCTGAGGCAGAAGGATTGAAAGTTCAAGGTCAGCCTGGGCAACTTAGTGAGACCCTGACTCAAAATTAAAATAAAATATTAGAAAGGGCTGGGGATGTAGCTCAATGTAAAGTGTCCCTGGGTTCAATCCCCAGTTAAAAAAAAAAAAGAACATTTTCATCATTCCCAAGAGAAACTCAGCACCCCATTAGCAGTTATTCCCCTTTACCACTACAACAGCCACCACCACCAGCCCTGGGCAACCACTAATTTACTTTGTGAGGATTTTCTTATTCTGGACATTTCACATAAATGGAATCTTTACTACTATGTACTCTTGTTGGCTTCTTTAACTCATGATAATGTTTTCAGAGGCTGTCTGTGCTGTCGCATGTCTTGGCCCTACATTCCTTTTTACAGCCCAGTGATATCCATTGCATTCAGAGAACACATTGTGCTCATCTGTTCATATGTTTGGGTTGTTTTTACTTTTTGACTATTATGAATAAAGCTTCTCTGACCTTGGTATAAAATATTTTTGGTGGATGTTATGTTTCCATTTTTTTTGTTACAGACATAGAAGTAGAATTGTTACATTACATGGTGTTTTTTTATGTTTTTGATTTTTGGTACTGGGGATTGAACTCAGGGGCGCTTGACCACTGAGCCACATACCCAGCACTTTTTTTATTTTTTATTTTGAGTCAGGGTCTCTCTGAGTTGCTTAGGGCCTTGCTCAGTTGCTGAGGCTGGCTTTGAACTTGCTATCCTACTGCCCCGGCCTCCCAAGCTGTGGGACTATAGGTGTATGCCACTGTGCTCAATAGGTTACATGGTAATTTTATGTCAATCATTTTTTAATTTGTTCTTTTTAGGTACACATAACAGTAGAATGTATTTTGACATATCATACATACATGGAATATAACTTCCCATTCTTTGTGGTTGTACATGATGTGGAGTTACACTGGTTGTGTATTCATATAGAACATGGGAAAGTTAGGTCTGATATTCTACTGTCTTTCCATTCCTATCCCCCTATCTTCGCTCCCTTCCCACCATTCCCCCCTGCCCAATTCAGTGAACCTCCAATCCCCCTGCTCCCCTCCCCCCACCTATTGTGAGTCAGTATCCTTTGGTTTTTTGGGGATTTGGCTTATTTCACTTAGCATGATAGCCTCCAACTCCACCCATTTACTGGCAAATGCCATAATTTCATTTTTCTTTATGGCTGAATAATATTCCATTGTGTATATGTACCACATTTTCTTTATCCATTCATCTATTAAAGGGCACCTAGGTTCCATAGCTTAGCTATTGTGAATTGAGTTGCTATGAACATTAAAATCAGGTCATTTGTGTTTTTATTTTGAGTTGTAGAATTGTAGAGTATAAAACATTTGTAAGGCCTTGATAAAAACTATGGACCTGAGTTCTAGGGAGCTGGGACCATCTACCCAACCTCAGGAGGGTGTCTCTGATAGTGTAGCCTCATCGGCACTGGCTATTGAAATAAAACAAACAAGCAAAAGTTGACTAATTTAGTAGGCAAATATTTAACTTTAAGCTATGCCCTGTGACAGAGGCAGAGAGAAGTTAGTTGAGAAGCTTCACTTCCATTCTACCTGTAACATAAGAAGAACTGTCAATGCTCCCAAAGTCCCAGCCTCCCCGACTCACCAATTACTCCATGTGTTGAGTATTGAGACCCAGCCCTGCTGCCCTCCTAGAAGATCGTCAGCCAGGGAACTGCATTCTTTACCCATCTTTCTGCATATTTATGGTAATTATTAGGTTGGATATCAGCCTGTCTATAACTCTTTTGGGTCTAATTTTTACTTTCCAGTAATTCTAGGACATAACAGTATACAATCTTTTCTCACTATCTTTTATCAGGAAGTGCAAAATACTGAAAAAAAATTTAGATGTCTTGGGATATAATTTTTCTTTAAATAAAAAGTTCAATTTTGGGAAACAGAAAATACATTATTACTTAAAAAAGAAAGAAAAAAAAAAACCCCTGTCCAATGGCAGTCACATTTGTTGGCCATGAGATAAGAACAAAGATGTACCAATTCAGAAGCAGGTAATCCCCAATTACTTCCAAAATACAAAATTTTAGAGAAATAAACTCCTAGGATGAGAAGGTGGTAAATAAGCCAAGGAACTAGGGCATATCAGTATTAAATTTAGAAGGGATCTATTTGAATTTACTGTATTTTAGTTTGGACCAAGTTTTAAATTTGTACTTTTGAACACTATTGCATCTGTAATGTTAAAAAAAAAACAACCTCTTCACCAAAATATAAAAACTGTAAAAGAAGAAATATGGAGGCTGGAACACTGAAGGCAGTAATTTCCATGCTTATCTGTCTCTCCTTGCCTGGAATGCTAAATTGGTTTTGCGACTCCACTCTCTGATCAAGCTGGTGAGGGGCATATAGGGAAGAGTTCATGAAATTGAGGAAGTCTGGCTCAGAGACAAGACTCAAGAGGGCTTTTGGTTGCTTTGATTATCAGCAGAGCTAGTAAGGAGAAGACACCCAGGAACAGAACAAAGATGACTGTCTTGAATTTTCAATAAAACTGATTTCCGAGGCTGGGGTTGTGGCTCAGTGGCAGAGCACTTGCCTCTCGCATGTGAGGCACTGGGTTCTATCCTCAGCACCACATAAAAAAATAAATAAACAAAATAAAGATATTATGTCCATGTATAACTAAAAAAAATAATAAAAATACACTGATTTCAGGTCCAGTATAAGGAAACACTTTTTTTTGGGGGGGTGGGGGATGCAGGTACCAGGGATTGAACTCAGGGGCAGTCGACCACTGAGCCACATCCCCAACCCTATTTTGTGTTTTATTTAGGGACAGGGTCTCACTGAGTTGCTTAGCACCTCGTTTTTGCTGAGGCTGGCTTTGAACTCATGATCCTCCTGCCTCACCCCCCTGAGCCACTGGGATTACAGGTGTGTGCCACTGTGCCGGGCAACACTTTCTAATAATTAGAACTCTCTGAATAAGAGCTGTCTCAGGTGACAAAGAGCACTGGGTAGCATTCACAGCCTGTAGAATAGCCCATCCTGGAGGATGTCGTGGAGGAAATTCAGACATTGGGTGTGGGGGACATGGGCTCCTTAGTTTCCTATAACCTAACCATTTCTTGATCTCTTATTTACCCTGAAAGAAACTTCACTTATGCAGGTGGGGGTGGAATAACCTATGTGGGGAAAGCCAAAACTCACCTGCGATGATGGCGCTGGTTGTAAAGAAAACATGGTTAACGGGCACCACTGCTGTCGTGTTGTAGAGCTTCGTGGCTTGATTCAGGAACCTAGAGCAGAAGGTACTTACTAGAGCTTGGGCTTAGAGAAGCTTAGCAATAAGTTAACAATAACTTCAAGAAATGCATGTTCTGTAGCCACAACTACAAAGGGAAAGGAAGTGCAGGGAAAGGGCATTTCCAATCAGCAGTCATAGCTTATGTGCATCTGATGTATGAGATCAGATGTCAGGTTTTATGGTCTGTTTAAACCAACAACAGTAACAATGAAAAGCAATTAATCATATTCTGAGGCCACAGAAGTTTGAGTTGGAAGCGATTCAAGCTGCTGGACCAGTATCATACTGGGGCTGATTCATTAGGATAGACCCTTGAATCTGTTAAATATCATATCTGGGGAATAGTATAGCTATCCATTGACATGCCACGTGCCAAGAAAGAAGATGGAGAAGTAAAAGAATGTTTAATGTTTCAAAAACAATGCTCAGTGCTCCAGCTGCAGAGCACATGTGGGAGCTCAGCTTCTCACTCTGGCCACCAACAGGAATTCAGGTTCCCGCTCTGTGCTGTGCTGCCCTGACGAGGACTAGACTTTTCTAAAGCAGTGAATTGCATGGATATCACCTGGATGCTTTAAAAAAGCACTAACGCTTAGGTCCTATTCTAGGGCAACTACACAACACAACACAACACAACAAAAAACCTTTGTGGGTAGAGCCGAGGTGTGTGTGTGTGTGTACACATACATGTATGGAGGGCCATATAACTGCAGGAATATGTATGTGTGTACACGTTGCGTGCATATTCACCTATATGTCCAAACACAGCAACTCTTTTAACCACAGTTCTACAGTGCGACAGGCACAGGGACTGAAGCAAGGGCAACAGGATGAAGTTTACCTTCCGCGGTGTGTGCTTTTTAAGTCACCGAAGCTAAGATAAGGACAATGATACTAATCATTAAATCCCAAAAGATACTGTAGCAGTACTGATTAATTCAGAAGAAAGAGAGAAGAAACAAAATGGCAAGATATGATATTACAAACATACTCAGTCTTGTAAGGAAATGATAAAACAGTGAGTGTGCTGGGCTCTTCCAGCAACCCTCCAGAGGCCTTGGCACTGGGCTATATCCAGCCCATAACAGGGAGACTTCACAGAAGGCATCAGTCGTGTTCTGAGCTCTGATTTCCTGGCTGGCACTGGGTGGTCCTTTGGTGTAGCATTGGGGGTGAATAGAAAACTCTCTGGCCAACTCAAGAGGGCCTAGCAGGCAAAGGCATAAGCACTACGTGAAACAGAGAGGGAGTGATTAGGGCAGAGGGAGGTGGGGGCAGAGAAAAGCAGAAATTAAAAATGTTCCATGTCACCACTATTAGGACCCAAGAGAAACATAAAACAATCACTCTGCAATCCCATGGGTGCAAAGAAAATTCTGGCCAAAGATGCAGAATTCTGGGGAAAGGATTTTCCTCCCGGCCAAATGTCTGGTTTTGTCCATCTCTGGGCAATTAATGAGCATGAGCTAAGAAATGAAGGTGAAGGGTTCACGTATTTCCTATATTTAGAATGAAATCCTGGACGTGGACCTGCCCCTTTGATTTATTGCTAATGACAACCTGTGTACGATGGATATTAATTACAAGCAGAAGAGCATCAGGAAAGCATCAAAGCGCACTTAGCTGGATTATGACCATATTTTAGAAAGCACAAGACATGAAGGCGATGCTCAGTAAAAACTTCTTATTGTATGCGAAGGACAAAGCAAGGCATGATGGCTTCGGATAAGCTGCAGGTCCTTCACCCTTAGAAATCCACTGCAGCTCATCTTAATTATCATCTGAAGCCAATGAAGATTAACGCTTGGAGAAGGAAGCACAGGAATGTTGAAAGATTAGTGAGTATGTAGAAGCTAACTTACTTGACTTGGAAAACACAAGATGCTATCATGATGATACACATGATATAGAAGATGGGATAAGTTAGTTGCGTTTTATTCGTCACAGAAAAAGTGATCATGCCTGAGACGGCTTTCACTGAAATAACAGTCAATGAGGCTGGAAAAGAAAACAAAAACACAAATAAAGTACATATTTGAGGCAGAATTATAGATACGTATCTTGAGTTTCTGTGGTGGAGTAGCATGTGTGGCAATTGTGCTTTAAGAGTGAAAACTGTTGTGAAAGGTGCAGGGGAAGAAGTGACCCTCCGCAAGCAGCCCCTTTTGTTCCTCAGGCTGTGCTGGAATTTAAATTTGTTTAGATCAGCTCAAGATCTGTGGACGGGGTGCTTTTATCTTCGGAACAAGATGCTTATTTTTCAGTGCTGTTGAAAGGGTTCTGCAGAGATTATAATCACTAGTAGATGGGAAGGGCAAGAACAGGGATGGGGGAGGTGAGAGAGTTCAGACTGTCCATCTGACATTTGTGGGAAAATATCTATCAAACTATGGGAAAAATTTAAAGCCAAATAGATGTGAAGACAGGGAAGTGGAAAGCGACACATTCCTCGTTTCCTGAGACTTGTCTGAAGTATATGTGTGAGTCTTTTTGTTAGGACATGCCTAGAGGTTGCATTAAAAATGGTTTTCGACAAAGACAATAATTGGAAGCAGGACAGGAGCTGAGGTGTCATTTCTCAGAGTGAACCTTAAATCCAAGACTTACATAAACAACATCATATATTTTCTGTGCTAAACAGAGACCCATCCTTACGTGAACAAATTTTTCATAGGTTCCACATGCTAATTAAGAAAAATGACCAGGTCCTATCACTGTGAAAGCAATGAGCATTTTCTCCCCACACTTCTGTAGGAGGACCCTAGTGCTTTCTTTCTGTCTCAGGTTCCCTCAAGTTACTGTTCCAAAAATTCCTTGGTTTAGCTGAAATCTAAAGAAAGTTCAAAATTAATTTTTAGGTGAAATCAAAAGTCAAAGGCAAGTGAAGGAGAAATACTCCCTTTGATGCTGTTGAGCTACCTGATCACAATACAGCTGAGTTTCTTCCTTTTAGCTTTTGGAATGGTATTATTTCTTCATATATATATATATATAAATATGTTTAAAATAGTACGTGAAGGCCAACCAAGAAGAGCCTCCCATAATTTTCTTTTCCAAAATCTGAAAATGTACTTTAACTTGAAGGACTCTAGGGTACACTCCAAATTAGGTATTTTCTTCCAATTAAAAGTCCTAATAAGCGGAGGAGACCAGGTAATAAATTCTAAAAACAAACCCCCCAATCAGAACAAAGAGGCCCTTAAAAAAACAGTCCCCTCTCCATCTTCAGATGTCTTTTGACGGGTCTTACGTATTTCAGATGTCATATCTGACTGATTATGACAATAGTCATGTCTGAGCTAATCTAGGAATTTTAAATATCTATAGAGATCCCTATATCACTTGATGGCTTAAGTTTGTAGGTCAGCTCTTTAGGGACCTTGATTTCCTCCTAAAATAGTTTGCCTGGAATTGGAGCACCACATGGCTATAGTCCTGTGGTCTGAATAGCCAGGTCTCCCGAAGGGATAATTAATGGAGGAGTTGAGCACACTGTTCCATTAGCTTCTGAACCTCAGGATTGCAAAGAACTTAAAGGTCATCTAACTTAACCACCATCTGATTTTAAATTATACTTGAACACAAAACAAAAGCAAAACTAGAATTATTTATTAAACTGCTAAATAAACTATCTTTCTATAACCCTTATATTTTCAAACACCAACTGATTAATCACTATTGTAACTGCAAGCTGTTTCTAAGCTGATGTCAGGTACTTTGAAGTTTTTTTGGCGGGGGACTGACGAGGATAGGTGGAAATGAAAAATTGTAATGCAATTTTGAAACATGCAATTCTAATGTTATATACACATATAAATAGAAAGTGCTTATGTATGCACAGAAAATGGCTAAAAAAACCCCCCTACATTAAGATACTGTCAGTTGTTATCTATAGCACTGGGAATATCTGTAAAAGTGTACATGTTCATTTTTAAAAAACTGGGAAATGCAGAAAAGCCTGGAAAGAAAAATTAAAATCATCTATAATCTCAATACTTGCTCCCAAATCATTTTTTAACATTCAGGTTCATCATTATTTTTTCTATTCATAAGTATGAATGTATTATAACATGTAAATCATATGGCATACACTACTTAGAACCTATTTTCCATTAAGATTAAATATTTTCTATGCCATAAAGTATTCTTCTAAAGCCTGACTTTTATTTGCTATAAAGAATGCCTTTGTATGAATGTATAATTTATTTTGACAATTCCCTATTTTTGGATATTTGAATTGAATCCCTTTTATTTTACTATTACAATGAGGCTACAGTGAATATTTTTGAACATAAATCTATCACTCTGCCTATTTCCTTTGGAAAATCACCTGAAGGGAATTACTGTGTTGACAATAAGACAGTGAGGAGGCTTCTAAAAAATCCTGATAAACTGCCTGGCAGAGAACACCAGGCATACTGTTGTACTGGGCCCCATAACACAATTGTTAATATTTTTTTCTTTATATCTTTCTCTGTTTTCTTAATTTTCAACAATAAATATATATTCCTTTCATTATTCTCACAGCACCATTTTCCTCCAACATATAGGCTGGCTCCGTCTTTGACATTTGGCCCTTTCAATGTTTTCTTAGTTCCTCATCCCGTTCCACAGACTTCCTAGATGGCCAGATCCTAGATCAGTGTCTCCTTCTTAGATTCATCAATATTTCATTTGTTTATTTTGCTTTGACAACAAGAATATGCTATGGATAGAGCAGGACTTCCCAGCCTTCCCAGCCTCCTGCCCTGCCAGAAGAACTGTGGTAAGAGGCTTTGGATTCCTCTATAAAAGGAGACCACAGACTGCAACAGAGCTTCGGACACCCAAATGAATACACAAACTCTCTTGTGAAGACAGAACATGTCTTTTCTTTATCGCCTCCTCACTGTATTTCTCTGGCCTAACTGAGATTTTGTCAACATTTTTAAATTGCTGAGAAAATACATTTCAATTGTCCTCATCACAAGATACGGTAAGAATCGAGGTGATGGATATGTTAACTAATTCAATTATTCCACGTTGTAGTCATAAATCATAACAGCACTTTATATCCCATAAATTCATACAATTATAAGTTTTCAATTTATGATTCAACACATATATAAATACACATGTACATATATATGTGCATATATAAAAAGAGAAAGGAACTCACTAGAAGCCAGCTTTCTTTCTTCCTGATTGTTCTATTTCTTTTTCAAATTCCATTTTCATCTGTCACACGATAAATATTACAGCAACAATAAAGAAAACACCCTACATGTGCTTTCCTTTCCCTCATTCCCAGGTTTTGCCTTGTGTGTGCTTTCACTCACACTGCAGGTGGGTACAACGTCGTGGGCTACTTCTTCCATTTTATATGACACTAGACATGTTTTCTTCAAGGTAACCGCATGGTTTTCATAATTGTTTTTCCTTGTAAAGTCATTAATGCCCACTGTGAAATACTCAAGCAGCAAGAGGAGCACAGTGAAGAGTAGATACCTTGTTTTCTCATTTCTTATAGTAATGAGGATACCTCTGATATTCATCATTAAGGTTTTTAAAAATTAGAAATGGATAAGCTTTAACATGACTTTTCAGCACCTATTGAGATAATTACACATTTCCCAGGTTTATTGTGACATCATTGAAATATAAAATTGATAAAGTTAAGGTATACAGTGCTCTATATATGATGTACTCTACATATCTAATGAAATGATTATTACAATTAAGTTGGTAAACCCATCTATTGCCTTTCACAGTTACCATTTGTGTGTGTGTGTGTGTGTGTGTGTGTGTGTGTGTGTGTGTGTGTGGTGAGAACATTTAATATATACACTCAGCAAAATTCAAATACACAATACAGTATTGATAACCACAGCACCATGTCATACATCAAATCCCCAGAACACATTTGTCCTATGACTGAAAGTTTGTACCATCTGACCAACATCTCAATATTTCCCTTTTGACTCATTAACATGATGAACTATAGTAATGGATTTCTTAAAGAATCATACTTTTTTAGTTAATAATTCAAACACTTATAGTGTGCTCACTGGGTTTAGCTAGGTAGAGTATATGTACTATAAAGAAAAGACAAGTTCTATATTCACAAACTTAATCTGGCAAGGAAGGTAAACTCAAAGATGATGCATTAAACACATATATAGAATGTAAATACAAGTTGCTGTGCTAAAAAGAAAAAGAAGCAGTTTCATTAAGATCACTTGGTCATGAAGTATTATTTGCTCTGGATTCCACTTGCTAATATATTTCACTTGGGATTTTTCCATCAATAGTTGGCAGTGAAATTAGTTCAGAGTGTTCTATATTTGTATTATCTTCTTCAGATTTGGGATCAGTATTTATCTGATTATAGTTTAAAAAGGGAAGGCTTTCTTCTAATGTCCTCAAATAGTTCCAGTAACATCAGAATAATCTGTTCCTTAAATATTTGAACCTTTGGAACTGTCTAGACCTGGTTCTTTTTTAGAATGTGACTTCTTAACAACCCCTGTATTTCTTTCATAGTTATTTTCTTTAAAAAAATAGTTTATTTAAGTTTTGTATGTTAAAATGAGTAATTTAAGTTTTATTAAGTATATATGTGTGTACATCTCTCTTTCCATTCATCTGTCTCTCATTTCTATTTCTGAGTATCTGTGATTTTTTTTCTTGATGGAGGATCTATTTTTAGTTGTCTTTTAAGAACTTGTTCTGGGGTGTATTTTTCAATTCATTGCTTTTCTGTTTTCTATTTCATCCATTTTCGTCTTTATCAATTGTTCCCTTCTGCCTTCCTTAGCTTTATTTCAGTGTTTTTTTCTAACTTCTTGAGCTGAATGCTTTGATTTACATCAAAAGCAATTAATTTCCTCTGAATACAGCATTAGTCATTACCTACAGTTTAAATATTAAGTGTTTGCATAGTAATTTAAAAAGTATGTGCTACAATTAAATCTTGCCTTGCCCAGCTGCAGTTTAAAAGTACTTTTTTAAAAATATTTATTTTTTAGTTGTAGTTGTACACAATACCTTTATTTTATATTTTCTTACGTGGTGCTGAGGATTGAACCTAGGACCTTACACATGCTAGGCAAGGGCTCTACCGCTGAGCCACAACCCCAGCCCTAAGAGTACTTTTAACATTTCCAGGTAGGAAGGTTTTACTGGTTTTTATTTTTGTTATTATTTTCTGTTTTTATTTTACTGTGACATGAGAATGTGGTCTGTATCCTTTCAACTTCCTGGAATTGATCAAGGATTATTTTGTGTGTGGCCAATTACATAATCAACTTTTGTAAATGATACACAGGCAGTAGAAAGAAGGCATATTCTCTGTTTCCAGGATTTGGAGTTCAATACTAGAGATTCTAATATGACTTTAAGTCCATGAGCTAAGTCTCTTCTCCCCTTATATTTCTATTTATACATTTTTGCATCTTTCTGCAGATTTTCCTTAGGACATTATGTATGATGTTCTTCTGAACTGATTGATTACCCCCATTTGTCACATTTAATGTTTTCCATCTTGATTGATACACACACACACACACACATTTAGTTGTAGATGGATACAATACCTTTATTTTATTTATTTATTTTTATGTGGAGCTGAGGATTGAACCCAGTGCCTCATACGTGGGAGGCAAGTGCTCTGCACTGAGCCACAATCCCAGCCCTTGATTTTAACTTAGTAATCTCTTAATCCCTTTCTTCTGTTTTCAACCTGAGTTACCTTGTTTTAGATAAAATTGATGTACACAGCCAAAATATTTAACAACCAATAAGACCAGTGGGAAAAGGTGGGGGTCTGAGGCCCCCTGCATTAATGTTTAGTGCTAGTCATGGCAGGGGTAGGGTTGGTGAAGAGAGATCAGCGAAGGAAGCACCCTAGAGGCCTGACTGGTAGCTGTTTCGAAAACTCTCAAAGAGCTGTACCCAGGCAAATGGCTGAATCCAATTTCAGAATCTTTTTCAATATCCATTTGAGAGTTTCTCTGAAGTTCAATTTGAGAATCTTTCTTTTTTAACTATGTAAACTTATGCCATTTACATTTATGCTCATGATTGATAATTTTCTAATTTTATGTCCTATTTAAAATTTACTTTATTTTCAATATTTTCCTATACAATATACATTTTCTTTTTGTTATTTGCTTTTGTTTTCCCTACCTGGTAACTTGGAAAGAAAATAAATACAGAGTTCCCTTGATCAATACCATACTTGAATTCGTTTCTAAAAGTAACTCTCTTAAACACAAATCCTCCAATACAAAGGAAAAAAACTAGTTGATGAGATAGAAAAATGAAAACCCCAGTGCCTAATTTACATGTGGCTACAGCTTGTCCAATGGTATAAGTATAATCTACAGTCATAGAAAACAATACATAACATATGGATCATCTTATTGGTAAAGAAGACGTTAATAAAGGGTTATAAATAAAATTTTGAAAAGGGGGGCTAGGTTTGAGGCTCAGCGGTAGAGCGCTCGCCTAGCATGTGTGCGCCCTGGGTTCAATCCTCAGCACCACATAAAAATAAATAAAGGTATGGTGTCCAAATACAACTAAAAAAATAAATGTTAAAAAAAAATTTGAAAAGGGAATTTCCCAAATGTTTAGCAATATCTCCTTGTGTTGGTATATATGAGTGTGTGGGGTGGGAGGGGAAGAGGGAGAAAGGAGGGACAATATATGAAAATATAGTGGGTTATCTAAGTATCAGATTTCAAATCCTATAAGAAGTCTCTGGTAAAAGAAGTAAAAGGGTTGGCAAACAATGAATAAAAGAAATATGGTATTTAACAAAATCATACTGCTTATGTTTATGCTTCATTTTAGCCACATTTTAAAGTTTTTAAAAATATGTAAACAGGACAGATCTTGTTAACTTAAAGTTTAAATTAAGTTTATTAGTTTAGTTTAAAAATCTTTTTCAATTATTTGCTTCAAAACAATTTGCAAATTTTTATAGAGTGCATAAAATTACCAAGGAGTAAAAGTCCATAAGTGTATTTTGTCAAGAATTAAATATGTCCCAATTGAGTATAATGGGCATGCAAAGTATAATCTGAATACTTTAGACTCAACTTCCTCTTATAGGTCAGAGTTGAAAAATAGAAACAGTCAGAAAGAAATAGAATGCTCAAGTATTTCCTTCAAACTTCATTAATGACTTAACATGGATTAATTAGAATAAGAACACAATATATTCCCTTACCTAAAAGTGCCACCAGAGTAAGCAGAATCACCATATGTGTCATTCCTTTTCTTTTAAGGAAATATAGGAGAATGCAGAAAATTAATATTTCTAAAATCTAGAAATGAAAAAAAACAAGAGTAAGTTATTCTATGCAAAATCTTCACAATGCCATACTTCTTTCCTTTTTTAAAAAAAAATTTAAAATTTTCTTTCTCTTTTTGATTTCCCAACAGTTTCCATGAGCGCTGAGGGTGACTGAAGTTCCCAGGGACAATAATAAACCTACAACAATATAAGGAGCTCAGCCATCCAGATCCAGAGCTTTCACACGGCCAATCCACCAGTGACACCCAAACCTAGCTCTCTAGGCCTCACCTTGCTGAGACTACTAGACGTGTCCACGAGTGTGTTTAGTAGATACACCACATGGACACGGGCAACACTTAAATCTCGATTTCCCTACTTTCCAACTTGTTCCTCCTGGGGCCTTTGCCCATATGTTCAATGGCCTCACCATAATTTCTGCTGTACAAGCCCAAAGCTCCTTCCTCTGCCATCCTTCTCCCTCTGCCATGTTCTCCCTGGACTACTGTAATAATCTTCTAACTTGTCTCTGATCTTACTCTTGCTTCTCAACAAGCCAGCCATTCGGCAGCCAGAAGATTCATTTACACATACAATTGGGATAATGAAATACTTAATTTGCAGAGGAGAATATGTATGATATACACTTTGGGTATATGTAGCAATATGTCAAGAATTCACGTGCTTCTGCCCAACCTAACAGAACCTACCGATACTCTGGAAGTCTCTCTGGCGCCCCAGGAACCGAGGCACTGCACTTTGCATTTACCCTTCGCTTTCTTTCTTGTTTACCACATTTTTACATATCCCCAAAGACCTTGTTTATTTTCACATGTGCTTGGACTTTATCCATGTGGGATTATTTCCCTTGCTTGCTTTTTCACTCTGCATTATGCTAATGAAATTCATCCAGGATGATCCAGGAAGTAAAAATAAAAATTGATCCAGTCATTCCTTTGCTTAAACTTCTTTTGTTTTTTTCTATCCCATGTAGATTAAGATCCAAACTCTTTACTGGATCACAGAGACCCAAACAACTTTTTGGACCCAAGTTTGTACCACTTGCTTTGGGATGGTCCACAAAGGCCGGTCAGAAGGGCCCTTGTTTTCTTTTTCCCTTATTTTTATTTGTCCGTTTTGCTCTTCCCTCCCTCCTTTCCTTCCTTCCTTGTTCTCTGCAGTCCTCAGATTTCTCCTGCCGTTGGGCCTTTGTACTATTGTCTGCCAAAAACACTCTTTTCCTTGATCTTTGCGGATGGCTTCTTCTTAGCGCTCAGCTAGAATGTCACCTCCTCTGAGAGGTCTTTCCTGACTACTCTGATCTAAAAGAGCCAGCCAGTCATCCTGCCACACCCACAGTTTTAGGTTGCTGTAGCCAATATGTCATTGCCTGGTGCTTTTCTTGTTCATATATTCTATGTTTCTTGTCTGTCTCTCCCACTAGAATGCCAGCTCAATGAAAAGAAGGACCTTATCTGTTCTGTTTGCCACTCTATCTGTAGTGCCTAGTACACAGTCTCGTAATAAATGTTTATGAAATTAATAAATAAATTATACCTTATATCTATTATAAACAACTTGCCAAATAAAGAGAACACTGTCTGATAAACAGTGTTCCATAAGTAGTAACTGAAATTCTAAAATTTTCCTACCCTTAAGAAAACTCCAGTGTAATTCTGAAATTGTTTTATTTTGTTTTAATACTAAAAATATTTTTTTTTTGTAGCCCTTAAGATAACCAGAAGCCAGGCTATTATTATTTTTTTGATAAGAGATGGGATCTCTGGACTGAAATCAAATGTGAAGTCTTAAATTTCTGAAAACAGACAAGTACATCATTGAATTTTTACTTAAAAATCGCTGGAGAGGATTGCATTTTACTGGCAGAGCCCTCTCTAAATCTAAATAAATCTAAATCTAATAAATCTAATTGTTTGAATTCAAAGTTTTGCTTGTTGATTTGTGTTTTCCTTTAATCCTCTGTGGGCATGGGAAGCCACAGGACCATATCTTACTCATTCTAAAAAGCTTCTCATCTAATATGGAAGATTAGATCATCCTTTGGACTTTTCTTCCCCTGATAAAGTAAGCCAATTATTTTCACTATTTTTCTTTTTTAGTAGGACTCATTTGCCAGGCCTTTAATTCAATTGAGTGGTGCTACAAAAGCTATTAGAGTGCCATCTCTTTGCCTTCCCTAAAGCGGCCATCAAAACACTGGGTGTCCCAATCGCTGTGCACCTCACCACCAGTTAACAGGCTTCCATTTCCCACGGATACAATCACAGATTGTTCCCAGCAGTGCTGTATTTGTTGCTGGAGGCCAGAAAGCTCTTCTTGCACTAAATAAAGCATGGAGCATGGGAGCTACATCTAGTTGCACTCCAGCTATTAATTTTTGGGGGTGGGTGGGTAATGAGGGTAATGGTTCCAAGCTCTAAAGATCATGTATGACCTTTTTTTTTTTTTTTTGCAAATTTCATCTCTATGACTTCAGAAACATAAAACATGAGTTCTCATTATTCACAGAATGACTATAGTTGACTTGGATTCCACCTTGTGCCAAGGGATCACAGGTCCCAGGAATAAAATATTCAAGAAGTATGAATTAATGTTTATTCTTTTTATATAACTTTTTTCCTCTAAAATATCAATATTAAAGAAGCTGGAATGTCACAGGTTGCTGTGCCCCAAGAAGAGGCTGCACTGCTGACTGCTATCTCTGAGGTTAGAAATAACAACAGGTCCTACTGTGTGCCCACTGCATGCTGCACACTTTTCTCTAATTCATGGCATCCTGACAACCTCTTTAGGAGGTAGAAACTATAGTTATCCCCACTTTACAGGTGAGGAAATTGAGGGTCAGGGGTTAAATGGATGCTGCCCCAGTAGGCAGCATAACGGCTCCCCAAAGAAGTCCATGTCCTAATGTCCAAAACCTGTGGCCACATGATATTTATTATTATTATTATTATTATTATTATTATTATTATTATTATTATTTTGGCTACATGATATTACATGGAAAGGGGCTTGGCAGATGTGGTTAAGGTTATGGAACTCGAGGTGGGGAGATGATCCTGGATGATTTAAGTGGTCCAACATGATTACATAAGTCTGTAAAAGAAGAGAAGCTTCCCAGCTGCAGCAGACAGCTGCCACATAGGAAAGATGGGAGCCAAGGAACACTGGTGACTCTAAGCTGGGAAAGGCAAGGAGTCAGATTCTCCCTTGGAGGCTCTGGCAGGGAGCATAGCTAGCCTAGCAAGATCTGAGTAAGACTTCTGACCTAGAAACTAGAGTCATAAATTTGTGTTATTTTAAGCCACTAAATTTGTGACAATTTGTTATAGAATAATAGAAAAAAATTCAGGTTCTGTTACCTGAAATCTTTCCAGAGGAATGATTTTTTTTCCCCTTGGGTAATAGGGATTGAACTCAGGGACCCTTGATCATTGAGCCACATCATCCAGCCCTATTTTGTATTTTATTTAGAGATAGGGTCTCACTGAGTTGCTTAGCTCCTCATTTTTGCTGGGCTGACTTTGAACTTGTGATCCTCCTGCCTCAGCCTCCCGAGCTGCTGGGATTACAGGTGTGCGCTACCATGCCCGGCAAGGAATGGAATCTTTGGGAGGAATTTTCTGCATTGATTTTGGGTTTTCTGGATTGGTTCTCTAGTCTATTTAGATTTAGAAGCACCAGTCACCCTGTTTTCAGTGGCTTAAAGGGCTATGGCTATTAAGGAGTGAAGTGGAAAGGGACAGACACAATTTCCTTGTTGGATGCTCCATTTCCAGTATAAAAATCCAAGCATGAGTTTACCTCCTTTTCTCTTACCAAGATTTTTCTTGGAAGCATAGCCCTTTGATGCAGCATCTTTGTCCAAAAAGAATGGGCCTTGCAAATTCTCTCCTAGGCCAAGTTTGGACAAAGACTTGATCCTTGGTAATCAGTTTTATTAATTCTGCATAGAGAGGTGTTTAGAGAAGTGTGTTTGAATGTGTCCCCACCTCCCCCCAAGAGGAGGACAACTTGGTTTTGAATTCTGGCTCTCCCATTTCATATTTATATGACCTTGGGCAAGTTACTGGATCTCTCTAAGCCTCAGGTTCCCCATCTGTGAGATGTAGAGGATAATCGTGCCCCAGGTACAGGATCATTAGGCAGATAAAACATAAGACTGTAGTCGGAGCTATGCACAGTGCTCAGCTGCTCCATGAGCACGGTCTACTGAGCTGCAGAAATGTCTAATGGTGCAGACACACAAGTACTATTTGCATCCAGAAAATAAAGCAAAGAAACATGAGGCAAGAGACAACTGCATGTCTTATAAAAACATGCAGCTTTCGCCCTTCAGGTTTTAAACACCTGACAGTGGGTTGTGAAGGAGCTTTGCTAGAAAGGTTGACTTAATAATCAGCTCTGAGGTATAGGATTACCCCAAATGACAGGTTTGGCCTTTGCTTCTGCTGATTTAATTTTTTGTCTGGAGGAGCTAAAATGAGCACCATGCAGATTATTTTGTGAAGGATTTTATGTTAACAACAGAGGTTTCTATTTGAATAGTCTGTTGGAAAATCTGGGTGGGCAAAATGGCCATGATGAAGCCTGCCAAAGAACATGAAGTAATTGGGGCTTGGGGCTACATTTCCTCAAGTGGACTCTGCAGAACATGTTAACACGAATTACTCAAAAAGGCCCTTCAGAAAAGGGCTCCTTGGTCAAATAAACTTAGGGCATACAGGAGTAACAAAATCAAACCTATCTCTTTCCTCAAGGACTTCTGGCTTTTAATCTGCTGACAGAGATGATGGATTCCACAGAGGGACCTGTTATGCCATATCTCTCTAAGCCAGTCTGGCCTTGAATCCACACTCATTTTTTATTTTTGGCAAGTATCAATGAGGGGAGCTACCCATCTGAGGCAGACAGGTAGGGAGAGGTTATGTTAGTGGGTGATAAAAGGGCACTTCATTCTTCTGCTGCTAGCTGACACCAGGCTGCTCAAATCCTCTTGCAAAAGAATGCTTGATTAGAGCTCCTGGGCCTTGTGGCTGTGAGGTTTCCACTTAGTGGAAACCTGAAGGTAAAACAGACACCCATCTGTCAGGCAACACATAAGGTAAGGGATGACCCTGCCTGTAATACCATTTACAATCCCTGTTTTGAGGAGTGCAAAGCTTATTAAAATATCAAATATTTTTATTCATTTTGTAAGTTAGTTGATCAGTCCTGAAAAGCAATTCTGGTGCTATATTTATATGCAGTGTAATTACATAAACAGATGAATGATTTGTCAAAGAGTAGTCTCAATTGTGTAATTATGATCTTTGCCGTCATACGTTGCAGAAAGAGTACAGAATCTGTCATACCCGATGATTAAATGTTAATTACTTAGATGTTTAACAGATTTAAATCAAACTTCCTCTTAAGATCTCTGTATATAACTAATCACCCCCAGAGTCTTCAGAGAAAAAAAAAACATATGATGGATTAAATTCTACATTACTATAACATGAACCTATTACCCTTAAAGTCTAATCCAACATCCAGTGCTGTTCCATATTACAGACTTATTTTGTGCTATTTTATAAATACCTAGATTTAGCTACCTTTTTTTTTCCTGTGTGGCCTTTTCTTTCAAATATACTATCTTATAATTATACAATTTTACTGAAGGGTGGATCTATCCTGGTACTATAAAATTCCTGCTATAGGAATTCCTCTCTGTAACCAAGGTGTCTAGTCAGTTGAATGGATGAGTGAATAAATAAATGAATGAATTTAAGAGTTGACTCTGGAAAATGACAAAGTTTAATTAATTTCAGAGTATTTTTGTGGAAATATAAGGTTTAATAAAAAGTGGCTTTGTTCTTTTCAAATATTTTCTCTGGTGTTAACACAAGATACATCATCATGAAGCAATGCAGTTTATTTCAGAAATAAGGCTTGATCTTTATTCTTTAATCTCCAAAGGATTCAGCTAAGGCTATTAATTTTCTGACCACAGGTTATGTCACTCTTTTCTTACTGGATAAAGACTGTTTTGCCTGTAGGCAGAAAGTAGTAATGTGTTGGTAGGACTTCAAGTCTGGACTGTCATGAAACATTCAACAAAGTTTAAAGAACAGAAGTAAATCACAGGGATTAAAACTTCTAGTGTGTATAGCTGATCGATGAAATCTGATAAAGAACTGAGTTTGGTGGACAGGCAGGAAAATGAATGGGTGGGGGAAGACACGATGTACGAATGACCTCGGGAAGGCTAATCTGAGTTGGGAAGCCCAATCCTAAAGGTTGGGGTTGGGGACAGGGGCTGCGGGAGGCGGTAAGAGGTGACAGAGCTAGGGAAAAAATAAAGTCATGAGAATGAAAATCAGAGACATAACATATCAAGAACAGGTGTTTAACTAGGCAGAGCATTATGACTGACAGCTGACTAATTTATTGACCAATAATGATTCTTCCCTGAGGGTGTGCATGGTCTACTAGAATAGAACAGAAAGGAAAATAGGTGATTAAAACATAATGTGTCATACAGAGAGCCCAGAAAATGGAGCAACTATCTTGGAAATATGCTCTTTAACAGAAGATGCCCCATCTGAGCTGTGCCCATGAGGGCAAGTTTGGAGGGAGTTGCAAGGGCATGGAGACAGGGTTCCAAGGAGCTAGGACTCTGCTGGCAGAGGGAACCACAGACACAGTGGCACTGCATTATGTGGCTAAAGTGCACTAACTGAGCAGATCTCTCTTGTAGGAGAATACTTCCAGTCACGGTGTTGAGGATGAGCAACAAGAGGACAGACAAGGGATGTCTGAGCAAGGGATGATGAAAGCCTGAACGGATGCAAAGGCAATGGAAATATAAAAGAAGGGTCAAGTTCAAGAAACTTTAAAACATCCAATAGGATGAGAGGTAGAGTGGGGAGTAAAGATGTGGAAGAAGTTATGTGCAGCTCAGACTTCCAGTATTGGAAGCAGACACACAAAATATTGGAGTGAGAGAGTTTTTTTGGGAAAAGGCATCGGTTCAATTTCAGATAATTTACATTTGAGAAACCAAATATCCAAACAGGGATGAGTAATAAGTGGACAGAAGAGAACACAGGGCTGGAGCTTAGGAGAGGCCTGGGAAGGACAGGCATGTCTGGATTTGGAAGGAGGGGATTCTAGAAGATTATGGGCAGACAGCAGATGCTGCACAAAGTTCAAGAAGTGTCAGGAGCAAAAAACGCAATTCCATTTGACAAGATGTGGGAGGGATCTACTAGATTGTAAGGAGAGGAGCGAATGGGATCTGAGAGAGTGGACAGGGTTGGCAAGAGTAGACAAGCTATCTGAAAGCATCTTTTGATGGTGAAGGGAAGAAGGTAAATAGGAAAGATTGTTAAAGGGTGTATAGTTTATGAGGAATTTTTTTTTGAAAACAGAGAAAGTTAAGTATCCTTAAAGAGTAAGAGAAAGTAAAAGTGAAAGGGGTAAAGAAGTCTTTCCTATAGATAGGTCTTTATAGGAAAGATCTAAGAATATTTGTCCCAGTGGTCCAAATTATACGTCAGAGATAGTAAGATACATAGAATTCATATACTAGGAATTGCTGCTGTATTACCTGAGTTACACTTAGATCAAAACTAGTAAACATATTCCTGCAAATGCCAAGGTCACACTTTTAAATACTAGGTATATCAACTAGGATCACACTTTTTACTCGTTTTAAAAGCAGAGGAGTATACCACACAGCTTTTTGAGGTCATTTCTAATCCTAAGACCATACCTTGCCTTTATGCTTTGATTCTATTTATTGAATTCACAATTATTTTACCAATCCAAATCATGGTTAAATGCTCAGCAAGACTATCTCAGTTTTCTTCTTACTACCTGCCTGTTCTAGAGTATTTTTATTCTCCAATCTTAGTCTGTAACAAGCTACATATTAACCATTTCAATCATGTTCTCTCTTTACAATCACCTGATAACAATCACTGTATCAAATAAAGCACCCCAATTAATAGCTTCAAATGCCTGTATCAGCTCTTTTCATGTTTTCTTTACATGTCTCTCGGGATCATACTTGCTCATCTCAACCTGTTGCAGTAATTAAATAGGACTTCTTGGAAGATGCTTCTACTGCTGATTTAGTATTTCAAATACTTTGGTACTGCTCAAAAAGATTTTAATTTCAATATGTTTCTAATGCTGAGAAGAAAAAGTCATACTAGCTCTCCAACATCTGCAGACATCAGTGGTCTAGATAGTATCACTTCAGGAATAGTGGAATTTTAGAATTCTTACCACATAGACCAGGAACTGCCAGCCAACAAAGTAATACTGTATTGTTCTTGCTGAGACAGCCTGAGTTATATTTGGAGCAAAATTCACCAATAAATATGTTCCTGCAAGTGCGAATGTCATACCTTTAAATAAAACAGAAAAGACAAAGCCAACTGAAAAGGGACACTTAAAACTTTTTGTTGACTCAGACATTACCTAGAGACAGAGCATTACTTGTAAAAGTGCTGGCAGCCCCTCTCTATTAAAAATCTGATTCATCAAGCCATCCTGTAACATCACATGTTCACCAAACGGCATGACCTTTACAGGGGCATAAAATCCAGGGATTGGATGGGCCAGAAAATAACTTCTGGTTCTTCTCTGTTGTTTCAGATGAGTCCTGGCCTCTCTGGAGCTTTCCTCAAAGGTGGAGAAGATCAGAACATGTGCACATGGGCATGGGAAAACACATCTCACCTCCATCCACCTAGATCTAGATCTCAGAGCCTAGAGGACAGGCAAGTCCACCACATGATGACCTGCCCTGCACTTGAGCATCTCTGGAGCCCCTACACTCGCCCTAGTGATTTCACACTGTGAGACTCCGGTAAAATGAGTGCCTTAATCACTGCCATCTATTGGAGTTGGTTCAGCAGGAATAACAACAGGGCTGCTGACGTTGCCGCCGAATTTTAATTATTCTAATTTAGGACTGAGGGTTGCAAGGTTAGCTTAGTAAAAATGCATCGCATCATCAACCCAATGACAGGAGTGTGTTCCTTAGCATCACTTAACACTATAGAGGAGAGAGAGTGGCATGGGAGGGGTGGCTGCTGGAGGAGGGGGAGGACTTGCCTTTTCCAATAACACTGAAAACAGCTTTCTTTTCTTTCTTTTTTTTTTTTTAAATAAATAGCCATCTAAGAAAAACTAATAAAAGCAGCATTTTTTTTTCAGTATACCTACAAACAATTCAGCTTGTTTTATCACTGAGATTTGACACCGTGGAAATAATTTACAGGCAGCATTGATTCTAACCTGAGACAATTTGGTTTGTGTATAAAATCTCACAGTTTGAAGGCACTAATTTCTCATTTCTCTTAACCACATGATTTAGGTTTTGAACTCCAGTTTCTGAGAACAGTGTTTGATTTTTTTTTTCACGCAAGTTAGACAACACTTATTTGTAGAAGCTACAAATAAGTTTTCTCTAATTTTTTATGTAATATTTTGTGAAGACAGAGATTAGATACATAATTTTAAAGCTATTTCTAATGAGAACTTTTGGAATGAAAAACAATATACATTATTAAATATTGTAATAAAAGCAAACTAATAAAAGCCATACACAAGAACCTGGAGAAAAGTTATTGGTAAGTTATGTTCTTTCTTTGAAAGAAAAAAAAAGATTATATAAGATAATTATTCCAAATTAAGCTCGAAGAAGAAAGAGATTTTTAAAAAAACAATTTTCTAAACTTGGTAAAGTAGAATCAATCAATTTAATTAAAAAATACACTTTAATCAGTCTCAGAGACTTCCAACTGCTTCTTTTGGGAAATCTATATTTCTTATTTATATTAAGCTCCTCTACCAGATTTGATCTCCTCTAACAGAATCTAGCATCAATAAACTTTCCTGTTTTAATTTCATTCTGAGTTGGTAACACAGGTATATGGTACAAAATTCCAGATACAATGAAGGTGATCAGTGAAAAGTTAAATCTCTCCTATACCCTGAGGCCACCAGTTCCCCTCCCCAACATTAACCACCACCACTGGGTCCTTAGGTTTTCTTTTCAGAGATGTTTTACGCATATGTGAGTGAGTGTGCATGAGTTTTGTCATTTTATACAAATGATAGCATATTATATACACTGTTTTGCATCTTGCTTTTTTGTTTTTTCCCCACTTAACAGAACACCTTGGAAGAGATGCAGGGCAGTCTCATTCTTTGAGGTTTACATAGTATTCCATTATATGATATGATGGTAGTAGTATTTAACTTAGTTTTCCTCAATATTATCTTTGATTTACATCTGTGTCTGTGCACATCTCTATCACTATGTCTTCATTGCATTCTGAAACTAAAAACAAAATGGCTGATGATTTTGCAATTTTACTTTCAAAGTCACTTTTTACATAACATTATTTCACTTGAGCCTCACATCACTGTGAGTCTAGTAACTCTACTAAACCCATTCTTTTTCTTGATAATTTTAATTTCAGCTACTCATGACAATTGCAAAAGCAGTTCTAGATAGCTGTAACAGTTGTATGCTTGTTTATTTTGTGCCATTTGCATTTTTAATGCAATTTACTATCCCATGTGCATATTTTCCAGAGGTACTTAAAAGTGTTGAAGATAGTCATGTGTACTTCCTTAAATAAATTTCCTTAAAGTTTATCTATATCTATATTTTACTAAAAGTGGCATGGAATGTCAGTTCCTGCTATTTTTATTTCAGTGAAACCATAAATACTCTTTTGGAGGACACAGATTTCTAACTTAGAAAACTTGCTAGTTTATCTTCTTTGGCCCTGTTACCCAAAAGAGTGATATGGATATGTAATATCCCAAAGAAGCAGGCAGTAGAGATATGCTTCTGGCCCACAGGAGTGGTTACAATTATGGTCAAGACTTGGATTCCTGCAAGTCTCATCAAAGCTGAAACTGTCTCTGAAAAATTCAAATTTCATTGCAACTTGCTAGCCAGAAGAGCTCCAGCAAATTATTGATACAGCTGTAACTGGATGAGTCTCCCTGATCTCTAGGTATGAATTAAGTCATCATATCTTCTAGATCCCAAGAGGCCAGTCTGGGCAGCTGAATATGCTTGAAACTCCCCTGGAGGCTTGATGCGACACAGGACCTAGGATCAATTAGCTCGGGATGGTTGACTGTTTGCCATGAGTTAAAGGCCATCTAAGTTCAACTTAAAAATTAATCTAAAATAGTATCCCTAATGATATAGCTCAGGATGATCAGGCACTGTCACTGGAACTGTTTATAAGGAGTCAGTGGAAGGTACGGACAGGAAGGAATCATCGAGCATCTTCTGACTGCTTAGTGAAAACTTTGCCCCATTGGTCTTAAAAGGAACTGCAATGAAGGAAATGATCCAATTAACAGAACACAGAGAAGCAAATATGGCAGCACTATGTTTCCTCCCCCAGCTAACCTTGGGAACTGGTGTATGAAGCACCAAGATCTGGATATTGGAGATGGCCCAAAACAGAGCAGCTGGGCACTGTGGGTAAACTTCAGGTGGGAGTCCATGTCTGGAGCTGAACACTACTCACCACTCAAGGAAGTGCCTCATCTTTCTCCCTCACATCCCAACCTGCAGCAATTATGTTTTCTGATCAAATATGATGCAAGTTACTTAAAAGTTGACAGTGGAGATTCCACATTTAGCTTGACAGAATATACAAGCAATGAAACTTTCTTGTATAAACTTGGCCTATGTGCAAAACAGGTATACAAGCAAAACAGGTATACAAGCAAATTCCTACACTATTTATGGTAGGTGTATACTAGGTATCCTGGGAGAGAATGTACTAAGGCAAGGTAATCCTTTTTATTAAGGTGATATTCTTAGAACTATTGATTTCATCAGCAAGTATGGCCAACATGATTGTTTTATTATGATCAGAATAATATTAAAACATGATAATAGAAACTATATAGCTAATACTAATAAGCACAATTCTATATTCTAATTTAATCCTTACAACAAATCCGTGAAAAACTATGACAGTAGTCCCCCCTTATCCACAGTTAATAAATGCTAAGGCCCCCAGTGGGTGCCTGAAATCTCACATAGGACTGAATCCTATGTATGCTGCTTTTTTCCCTATGTCTACCTACCTATAATAAAGTTTAATTTATGAATTAGGCAAAGTAAGAGATGAACAACAATAACTAATAATACAATCTAATAATTACAATATGCTTTAATAAAATTTATTTAAAACTTATGAGTTGTTTATTTCTGCAATTTTCCATTTAATTTTTTTCAGATTGTAGTTTACTATGGGTAACTAAAACCACAGAAAGTAAAACTGGATAAGGGGAGGACTATTGTTTACTATTATGTAATTATATTATTAAAACATACGCTGTATATGCCATACAGTATTCAATATGCATGATATTTAATGTATAATCTTAAACTATTACTATCTATATTTAACAAATGAGGAAACTGAGTCACAAAGAGAATAACTATTTTGCTTGGGGTTTTCCAACTAATATGTTGAGAACTTGGATTGGAACCTAGGAAGTCTGTTTTCTGTTTCATTCCTCTGCCTCTTGTATGCATTAAGGGGTAGGGCTGCTGAATGGAAAGCTCAAACTGTCATTCACATGGTAGTCTAAATGAGTAGAGCCCCCCACAACTGTACAGATCACCAACAGGCCAGAAATAAGGAAACGATTCCTTCCGGCAGAGGTCTCTGGGGTCCCTGACTAGTCTCACATAATTTTGGGGGCTCTAATGTTCATTTAGAAGAGCATTCCCAAATTGGTGTTCCCTGAAACCAGTTTTCAAAAGGTGGAGGCCTCACCAAAAAAGGCCCAAATGAGTCAAATATTATTTGGGAAGAAGCAAGCTAAATGAATTTGAGTAGTTCTTTCACTAGAAGACCTCTCAGATCTACTAATGTGTTGATGTTCACACGGATTGCATAAGGAGCATGTGGTTGTCATATTTCCAAATCATTTTTGACCGTTTATATTTCCCTGAAGTAGTGCTTTAGGGAATATTTTCTACTGTGGGAAATACTTGACTTGTAACTGGCCTGGCTGTGAGAATGCAGCCCTTGTTTCAGGAGGTGCCTGGTCTCCTATTGCAAAAGTCTCCCGTAGACACCTGTGGACAGGAATGAAGTATAAATGTGTTCACAGGGAACCAAGCCTAGAATTGGGTTCCTCCTGGTGCTGCTGTTTGCTGGCACCTCCAATGAGCTGATTCCCCTCCCACCCCCCAGGGGGTGGGGTGTCTTTCATTTCAAGATTGATGTGCAGGGCTGGGGGTGTAGCTCAGTGGTACAGCACTTGCCTCGCATCCAGGATCGATGATATACATTTCTTCTTCAATTAACATCCTGTTTTCTATACTAGTTTTCCCTTTCACTAAAACCTGGAATCTCCTTGCTCACTAAAACCTGGAATCTCCTTGAATCTTGAACTCACTCCCCAGTTGGATGCCAAGTAGTATTAACTGCCTATTTTATAACTTGACCTGACTTCTGGGAGCCTCCAGAGTCTTAAAATATTCAACTAACCTCACTCCAAACAAAGTTGATTCCTTCAGTCCTCAAAATAAGTACCTTGGTTAACAGGAAACCAGTCACTGCTCTTTGGGATACCAGAAGTCACAGAGTAGACTGGACTGCTTAACTCCAGACATTTGGGACTACCCTCCAATAAATGCAGCCATTCCAGACTCCTCGAAGGAACCCTAGACTGGGAAGTCTCAGTGATACAGGGAATCCAAATGGTCCTGGCTCTGCCATCAGAAAGGCTCCCATTCTTGAGGTATCTGAAACCAAAATGTCCAATCTGTCCTTCCAATTAGAAATGATGCTTCATTTGGCTGCAATACTCTTCTAGATTCTGGACCCAAACCACAGTGATCTCGGGTGCGTGAGAAGGAAGGAAGGAGGTGGCCTTCATCTCGCTATTAATCCCTTGGCTTCCCATCTGGGGAAACCCTTTGTAGGTGACTTGAAGTAATCCAGTTCCTGGTCTCTTGGGGAGTGCTGATGAGTTAGTTGACTGCAGTTTTTATTTCTATGATGACATTATCTGGGCTCAAATCAACAAGGATCTCAGACTATTAGGTTTGAGACTTTTGATGACTGGGAGAAGAGAGAGGAAAATACTATAGTTTTTGGCTGGTCAAAGGGGAGAGAAATCTGGTGCTTTTAAAAAGGAAAAATAATCATTAAAATAATTTAAAATTATTAATCCACTAAGAATCAGAGCAGAGTCCAATGCTTGTCATTGAGTTAATAATAGTTGGCGATTCCTTTCAGACATAGCTTTTGTGAGGTCATTTTTTGAGGCTAGTGGTGAAAAGCTTCATAGCCACAGAGCAACATTTGGCAATAAATTAGTTCAGCTTGTTTCCACATGGCCCCAAAATCTTTATTTGTTCCATTGTGAAAAACAAACTTTCATTTGCTTGAAGCAGGGAAAAATAAATGATTTTTCTTCTCACATTTTGACAATTTAATTTTTTAGCATGCTCATACGTTAATCTTTAAGAAACACCAGTAACTACTCTTTTCCCTGTTTGGTTTTAGACCCTGTAAAGGGGGAAAAATGCATTTTTTGCTTTTAACAGAAAGAGCTTAATTTTCTCAAGGCAACAGCAATAAAGGTCCAAAGGAAATATATTGACTTAACACATTACTGAACACAGTTGGGTAAAAGTCCTTCCCTGGACTTCTGTAAGTATAAAGTGATCTTATGATATTGCTTGTCAGAGGAAAATGTGTGAAATATGTGACTAAATCCTGTTTTATTGTATGCCACTGATTAAAGGCAAGAACTGATCACTTTTAACTGTTGTATGAAACAAATGTGATACAAGTGATGTAGCCATATTCCAAAAACATTCAGTTAGAAAGGGATAAAATTCCCAGAGTTCTGGGAAATGTTACCTGGACTACTAAAGGTAGAAAAATATTCTAATTCCTCTGATTAACTAGCAGGGCACAGTGGTGGTTGCTGCTGGTTGTAAAAGTAATAACAGGAACAGCTAACATTTTGAGTTCTTATTATGGAATAGGCCATAATTTAATCCTGTGAGGTAGGTAATATTAACCTTCATTTTAAAGATGAGGAAATTGAGGCTTATAAGAGCTTATTTTATTAACTCTAAAAATAATAACTATGAAAATAACTTATTTATTAACTCTGAAAAAGTCAAACAGTTCTCTGATGCTGGAGACTCACCCCAAACCATTATGCTACAGTTTTACTAGGTGGACACTGTTAGAATACTGGCCCATCATGCACCAGTTAGATGGCTCTTTAACCTAAGTTTCAAATTTTGCTTCTGGAAATGGAGTGTTCTACATTTAAATGAGATAATCCATGAACAGCACACCATAGTACCTGGCAAGAATAAATGTTCAAAAGATGTTAGCTGTTTTTAACATATAAAAATTATTAAAGAATTGATTTGAAGTTTTACTTTGTTTTCTTGGTGTGTGTGTGTGTGTGTGTGTGTGTGTGTGTTTCCCCATTTCTTATTGTTTTAGTATTACCTCTTGGGAATCTCTTGGATATGAAGGTGATCATAGTAATCATAACAATTACAGTGAGAGAGTTTTACAGTTCTCAAAGTGCTTTTATGTGAGTAATCCAATTTGATTTTCAAAACACTTTTATGTATTTGTCAGCAAACTGAGGCTTAGAGAAGTAATACTTATGTATATGTGGTTGGCCATATAGTAAAAAGCCGAAGTTGAATCCAGATTCAAATCCATTAGAGTGAATTTAATTAGATCCTTTAATTTGTTAAATTAATTTGTTGTTTCTAGTAATGTTTAGTTAATCTTGGATTTTTTTTAAAGTACATAGCAAATCATCTGTACATACTGATATTTCCATCTTTTCCTTTTCCATAGTTATGAGTTTTTCTTATTTTTCTCCTAATCCTTAAAGGTAGCAGATAGTACAGTTAGTAAACAGACACTTACTTTGCCACTGTTGTACCTTTGTGGACGCTCCCTGGATTAGTCTCTCTATGTGACCCCTTCATGTCCTTGGATGTGGCCTATGCCTGTCCTATTCAGTAGTCAGGACTGATTTAAATGTTGATATAAAAAATTCTCTCTGATCTTCAGAGAGATTACTTCTCTTAATTCTAACCTAGTGGTTCTCAATTTGGCATAATTGTGTCCTTTAGGGGCACTTAGTAATGTCCAGAGACACTTTTGATTGTGGTAAGTGGGATAGAGGGTGCTAGAGATATCTAGTAAGTAAAGGTCTGTAGGGTGATAAACACCCAGCAATGCAGTGAATATCCCCCTACAGCAAAGAATTAGGGAGCCTGAGATGTCAGTAGTGCTGAGATCCACAAACACTGTTCTAAACTAATGGCTCATGACATTATGATATACATTGTTTTCTACTTCTAAAAAACTTGTGTGTGTGTGTGTGTGTGTGTGTGTGTTTATTTTGGTAACCAGTATTGAACCCTGGAGTGCTTAACCACTGAGCCACATCCCCAGCCCTTATTTTTTATTTTGAGACAGGGTCTCACTACATTGCTTAGGACCTCACTAATTTGCTGAGGCTGCTTTAAACTTGTGATCCTCCTGCCTCAGCCTCCTGAGCTGCTGTGCCACACTACCTAGCTTCTATGTATTTCATTATGAATTGTAAATTATTTAAGGGCAGGGATTCAGTCCTAATTATCATTTTACTAACAATATTCAAGACAGTTAGCAAATCTTCCACTATATCCATGTATATTATCTCATTAAGTCATATTAATTTAATCGGTAACTAACCACCCACTACGAAAGATAACAGGTGTTAGATAAAAGTATTCAATGTTTCCTTAAGACATTTGATAAATGACAATATCAACATAGGATCTGCTTTTTTAATTTATGAAACTTGGGCATTGGTCATTCTTACTTCTGATTGCCTATGACTTCCGTAAATGATTCCATAAACCACAACACATAAAAAAGAATATAGAAAAAATAATATGCTGCAAAAGATACAGTTCACATATGAATACATTTTAAAAAACATTTTAACCATGAAAAATTTGACAATGTTGACTAAAAACTCTACTAGCAGAATCAAACCAAGGAGGAAAAGAAAAAGTGAAAACACTTTCAAGACATCAGGCTCAAGGGAAACATGATCCGGGAGAACAAATGCTCAACATACCAACACTGGTGTCACATTTAGAGCTCACATTTTTCGAAAAATATGATCTCCCTGGAAGAGGGCAGGCATTGTTTTATTTCAAGTGCCTAAAGTATCTGTATTCATTATCATATGTCAGCAGCAATTCAAGCAGGATTTTGTCAAGGAATAAAATATGAAACTCTATAATTCTTCTCACCAATGATATTTCCAACAAAAGCAAGAAGACACAATGAATAAATGATAGCTTCGCAGTGTAACAGAAATCTCTTTTATAGCCAGGAAGACTACTTTTATTTTATTTTCATTTTCTATTCATCATTCACTTTATTTATTTTTTCATTGACTTTAGACTTAGTTCTACCAGACCACTCCTTCCTCCATTACTCTCTTTGTTTTCTATTAACAACTGTATTTTCAAAATTTGGAAGAACAACCCTCTGTGTTACCTTTGCAAGGAGTTAAATACCATAGGTAATTACTTGGTAATTAATTATCTTATTTTGTGTGGTTTTCACTTTTATACCATACAAATGCAACAATATAGAAAGCATATCCTTTGAAGTGGAACAGTCTATTAGGCAACACAGAAATTTTCATTGAATTTTATGTTCATAAAATTTTACAACATTAATAATAACAACAGTACAAAATGATAGCTATGACCAGTAGCATGAGCCACCGTCACAATGAAAATATGAGTATTTCAGGTGAGAAGGGACGGCAGTTCCAAGGCAGAATTACAGTCACATCTAAATGAGATCTGCAGCCATTTCATAATTTTCCCCTAGTTTTAAATCACACATTTTTATGGCTACTATTATTTATTTCCTGGTCAAGCAATGTTATAATTACATGAATTAAACAATTACTCACCCAGTAAATCTGAGGCTCTCAAATTTTCTTTCAGAAACATAACAGAAATAATGGCACTACCTATAAAGAAAATGGCCATTAGTGCTAGTTCTAATATAAAAACATATACTATGCAACTCCATTTGAAAGAAGTTAAAGCATATTATGCCTCATGCCTGACTAGCTCTGTCCTGAGTAGAGACACCCAGCAGACTTCCTTCTCCCTGATGAAGATACCTAAAGATGGGCCTGGTTTACAGGAGATCTAGGACAGTGTGGCTGGGACAATGCCTGGTATAAAAGGAGAGCTTGATAAAGCTTCTGAATGACTACATAAATGAATGGAAAGAAAGAAGGAAAGGGTGGGAAATATGTAATCATAATTCACAGAACCCTTGGTGTAGTTTCGTGCTCTATGGCTTTGACACATGCAGCTCTGTCCCCATTCTATGATCAAATCTATATTCAAGCATCACTACTGGAATCTCTCAGCAAAGTTGACCGCTCTACCATTATGCTGAAATGACCCCTACATCGAGTTTTTCATGATAACTAAGAGTTAGTTTCTAGTTTTTGCCTAAAAGTCCGTCAGTTCCTTTTGGTCTGAGATGTCTTATTCATTTAAGATCCTCAGTGTATAGCTGGTATCTAGCATATAGTAAGTTCAATAAGTGATCACTGCATGAAATGAAATAAGTGAGATCCCAGCCCTGAAACTGCTGACTCTTGTCATGTTTTGGACTTTTCTTGCCACAACCAGTGCTGCTGAACTTGCATCCCCATACCTGAGGCAGAGCCTGCTGCTGTGACCTCAGGGAGCAGGACCAAACTGAACCTCTCTGTGTTGTTCCTCATCTGGGGCTATTTCTTTATGAGTAAAAGCATTAAAGAACTTAGAATTGCAATAATAAAAAAAATACACAACATAATTTTTCTTCTAAATTTTTGCCCAAAATTACTAGCTAGGATTTTTTTTTAAAAGCATATTAGAGGGGCTGGGGATGTGGCTCAAGCGGTAGCGCGCTCGCCTGGCATGCGTGTGGCCCGGGTTCGATCCTCAGCACCACATACAAAGATATTATGTCCGCCAATAACTAAAAAAAAATAAATAAACATTAAAAATTCTCTCTCTCTCTCCTCTCTCTTAAAAAAAAAGCATATTAGAATGAAAAAGAAAAAAGATCAATCACTTTATTCTTATGTTCAACTGAGTCAATACACTCTGGATTCTGTATTTTATTCATCTTTTGTGTTTTCACTAGTTATAAAAATATGCTTGATAAATACACTATGGAATGTCATTAAATACAGTATTTTAAAATTATTACATTATTTAAAATAATACATTATTTTAAAATTATCCATTCTTACTTACATAAGGGATAATCATTGGTTTATAAATTGTTTTACTCTTTAGGCTTTCTATCTCTTCCTACTTTGTTTGGGGCTATTTTATAACTCTTCAGGAGGCCTAAAAGGGTTGATCAGACTGTGAAAGGACATTTTACATGCAAAAGATATCTTAGCTATCCTCTGGGATTTTCGGTTTTTTTTTTTTTCAGTAAAAATAGAGAAAAAAATCATAAAATAATATCATCATCTAGAGAAAATTACAGTTAATAATGTTGATGTTTTTATTTTTATCTAGTTGAGATTAAACTATAATACAGAATTTTCTGTTTTCTCAGTCATCATATTAGAAATAATTTGCCATGTCATTAAGAATTTTTCATAGACATAACTTTAATGTCTGAATAATAATCCATTCAATGGATGCTATAGCTAAATTTGAGTATGACTATGTCTGGCATTCTGGCAATTTATTTAAAACAAAATAACAGGGGCTGGGGATGTGGCTCAAGTGGTTCGATCCTCAGCACTACATACAAACAAAGATGTCGTGTCCACCGAAAAAAACTAAAAAATAAATCTTAAAAAAATTCTCTCTCTTTCTCTCTCTCTTTAAAAAAAAATTAAAAAATAAAACAAAATAACACATTTACACCAAGAAATCTTCATTTAAGATAAGCTGGCACCAAAAACCCCCAAATAATCCAATCAATAAATAGCCAAAAGAACTAAATAGGCACCTCAATACAATGGGTCGATAAATATATGAAAAAATGTTCAACATCTCCAGCAATTGCAGAAATGCACTAAAAAGAAAAAAAATTAAAAAGATAAGCTGGGATACTCATATGCTTTTTTTCCATTTTTCCCCCTTAACCTAGTCTTTCTCATTTAAGTTGATCCTTGTTCTGATAAACTTTTCCAGGCAGGTTATTTATAGAAATGGAAGTTTGACTCAAAGTAAACTGAGCATGGGAAATGTTCATCAAGTGCGTGTCTAAAGCATTAGAGCAAGATTTTTGTAGATTAACTAATGTATGGATATGTAGCTAATTAAATGAAAAATTGAGTTTGGGACAGGTACAAAAAGCATATGAAAAGCTTCTATTTTAGGTTTGGAACAAAATGATTCAGGAATAATTGGGTCCAAAGAGGTAGTCTGTGTATTCACTCTCTGATCCACTCACCTAACAAACATTTATATTACAGCAGAACTGGAGCCCGGCATCCATACCTGCTTCTTCCCAGTCCAGAGCTCATGCTTTTTTTTAAAAAAATTTATTGGTATATAATAATTATACAGAATAGTGGGTTTCACTGTGGCATATTTGCACATGGTACTTTGATCTATTTCATTCCCCAGGACCTCCACTCCTCCCACCCACCCCCGCCCCTTTCCTTTACCCTAATGGCTCCCTCTATTTTCATGAGATTCTTTTCTCTCCAACTTCCACATATGAGAGAAAACATATGACCCTTGACTTTCAGAGTCTGACTCACTTTGCTTAACATAATGCAGAGCTCTTTCTAGTATACTGCATGCCATTTCTTCCCTTGAAGTCAGAAAAGACAGCTTTTCTTTTCCTTTTGTTGCTAAGCCACAGTTTCATAAACAATTTTACTTTCAGAAGGAAGAGGGAAAAATGTAACATGGGAAATAAATTCATTGCTTAAAGCACAAAGGACATGAATATAACAGAAAACTTGAAATATACTACATTCATTACACTGTATCAATTGCGATAAAATAATTATGTTTCATGAAATATAAATATACTCCTCTTTTTTTTTCCAAATTTAAAAGTCTAATGTACTTATATACTGACTTAATGACATTTTTCTCTTTTTTAAGAGGACATGAGCTTTTAGATAAGAGAATAATATTTTATTTATATAGTAAAGTAACAAAAAGAAACATTCTACAAGGACACATTTACTTATAACTCATTTATATGCAAATCATGGTAAAAAAGGAGCTGTGCTGAGCAAAAAAAGTCAGTATCTGGGCAACAGTTAATAACATGGCTTCTAAGTAGAGGAGTAAATTTTTTAAATGAGAAAAAATTAAACTGAAGTACTCCTATACATCTTGGCAATCAGATACCTGTCCAATTCAACTTTCTTGATTAGCTGCTATAATAACTACTGCCTAATGAACAACTAGGAAGGTATATTAAAAAATGGAGCATTTCAATATTTCAATATTCAAAAATAGAGCATTCCACAACCAATAGTTTAAAAAGCACTAAAATGGAACACATCTGCAAAATAACAGATGTGCAATAGATGTGATTAAACTACAGTTATTATTGAGGTTTACTTCAGCATTCGGTTCTGTGTACCTTTTTGATTTTCGATTCAAGGTTTTTTTGGGCAGAGGCTCAAGAATGTTTTTCCATGTAGCCTTCAGAAATGTTATGGTTTTGATAATAGGTGTGAGACAATGCAAGAAAGTTCAGAGGTGAAATGATTGGGTTATGAGAGCCTTATCAGTGCATTAATCCCCTGATAGGGATTAACTGGTGATGGCAGGCAGGTAGGGTGTGGCTGGAGAAGGTTGGTCATTAGGGGTGTTCTTTTGGGGTACATATTTTTTGAGCTGAACTTAGTTTCTCTCTGTTTCCTGTGCCATGTCCTGAGTTGCTTCTACCACACTCATCCACCATGATGTTCTGCTACACATTAGAGCAATGGATACAGCCATCTATGGACTGAGACCTCTGAAACTGTGAGCCTGAAAATAAACTTTTCATCCTCTAAAAGTGTTTGTGTCAGTTCTTTTGGTCACAGCAGTGAAAAAGCTGACGAAAACAAGAAGACATGAAATGCTCATTGGCCTTGGTGCTTAATCACAAAGTACCAAGATGGGTGTAATGAAAACCAGGAGGTGGGGCGGGGGCTGTAGCTCAGTGGTAGAGCGCTTGCCTAGCAGGTATAAGGCACTGGGTTTAATCCTCAGCACCACATAAAAATAAATAAATAAAATAAAGATATTGTGTCCATCTACAACTAAAAATATTTAAATAATAAAAAAAGAAAACTAGGAGAAAAATGCATATTCAATAATGTTGGAAGGTTAATAATATGTCCCTCCAGGTATATAGGCTATTTTCCCAGGCAAAACTCATTGCCCACAGTCAATAAACTGTTATTCTTGGCAAGTGAGAAATGTCTACAAAACTTGACACCCTTTCCCCCCAAGCTTCTAAAAAATTGATGGTGAACTCTGCTGTTGCAGTTGCCCCAAGAATCATCCTATCTTGAGGCCTATGTAAAAATTTTGTGAAAGGGGCTTAATTTGACCTGTCTTCCACTCCTTCTTATTTTATTTTCCTTAAGGAAATGCTCAGTTAGAAAAAATGAGTCTGATTCATGAAAATGCTGTGAAGTGGAATGAGGACAGGAATTAACCAAAAAGACTTCCTTTCTTCGGTTACTCAAACTATCACTGTGGGTGAACAGCAGGGGGTCCCACTGAAGGATGCTGGAGCCAAGACACTGATGAGGAGGCAAGGCACTGATCTGAGAGGGCAGAACACCTGGCTCTAGTTTCGACTCTCAAGAATAAGCTATGCAACAGCTCATGGATTAACTTCTTATCTTCTGGGTTTTATTTCTTAAACAGGTGAGATAAAGCACATTTGTTTTGTGGCTTCCAATTACCCATGCTGTTTGAATATGTTATAAATAGCCAGTTATTTAAGAGAACATAGATCAAGCTGTGACCTTTG